TATGTCTTGGCATTTACTCACAACAATATTATTTTCTTTCAAATATCTAGAAAAATACACTTAAGAAACATTTAGCTAATTACAGTTGTCTTCGCAAAGTGGCTAAAGAACATTAAAGCAGTTCAGGTATGAACAGTGACATCAGATAAACCACAGGTACAGAAAACAAATGTTCTTCCATGTTACAACAAAACATACAAACGCATTGTACTCTTTCCAATTGGTCCTGGTTGTTAGACTTTGATTGCAATTTAAACTTCGTTATCAAATAAGCCAATTACTCGAATATCTTTAAGGCACATCTATACTAGTTGAATGTATACACCCTGTTTGCATGATTAAAGTGTCCAATTATGGTCTTATATAAAATATCAGTACAATTAAATAGAAATAAAAAAACATGGACAACAAAGACAATGTCTCAGGCGCACACTACAGGTCTCTTGCTAACAACATGAACAGTGTTCTGCTAAGGAGGTAGAGGAACTCAGAAATCAGAAGAGAGACTCAAATCTATCAATACAAGGACATCTTGGTTTATGTGGCACCTACAAGCTAGTTTGCTAGAAGTTATCTGTACCGTGTTCCTAACAACAGCAGTGCATTTAAAAAAAGGATACATCTAAAAATCGTTTTAAGACACACAGGTAGACAGAGGAACAATTAAGAGCATGTTACTACCCTGGAGTGCAGCGTGGTTCACAGTGATTGAAACATTCAGCTCAGTACAAGGTTGACCCACTTTTAGTGTGATTTGTGCTACTCAAGGTGAATGGTGAACTGTGGTTACTGTTAGGGTCATACATTTTTTTATCTAATGTCAACCTTCATGATGGTAGCTGAGGAAAGGCAAAAAAATAAATATCATTTGACTTCTTTCAGGCTAGTGAAAAGAAAACATTCAAAATACAAATGTAGGTGTTTATTTGACTAAACTGTGTCTTTTTGCTTCTATAGATTTGTCCTGAATTTACCAAAAGTTAGCATTAGATAATGCCTCGTGGACATTATTAAACGTACAATATAAGAAAACTTGTAATTATTTAATATTATGAAAGATTTGTATCCTAAAGTAATGGCTTCTTTTTTTTAATGGCAGTGTTTTCTGATGTATTGAGTGATACAAAGAGATTCCCAAAATTCCCTGAGTAAAAACTCTTAACATGTCCATCGTTTTTTCCATGATTCAGATTTACAGATTTGTAATACAGTGTAAGTCTTATTGTGATCTATTTATAAAATGGTTTTACCCTGTTCACCTGTAGTGTCTCCCTCTTAAAGGGATCCTAGCACCCCACACCCCTGAATAGAGAGGGGGTTTTATAGTGCAGTATGCGCATCAATGAGGGTCCGTGTGGGTTTGTACTGTGCTTGAATGATGGTTTTGTATTGCGATTAGTTTAGAGTTCCCCTCTGAGTCGTGTGTGCAGGTCTTCCTGGTCGACCTTGCCCTCCTGCTGGTGCCAGCGGTGGTGGGCCAGCAGGGCCACGTTCCTGGCAGAGATGGCGCTCATCTCCATGGCGCTGGCTGCCCACTCCACAGCATTCAGGTAGTACAGCCGGTTGTGCAGGATGAAGGGTGGGGTCTTACGTTGCGGCGGGCGGTACATAGGATAAGCCAGCCACCTGGTCTCTGACGATGAGTCCCAGGTGATGAACATGTCCTGCAGCTGCTCCTGGGTCAGCGGCTGTGGAGAGAACACCTTCCAGACTTTGGCCACGCTGGCAGGGGGCCGAATGTACCCCTCTGGGATCTGAACAGGGTCAATAGAGCTCAGGCTGTTGATGATGGAGTCCTTTGAGTCCATGGTGAGGATGTCCGACACAGTGAAGTCTGAGGCCTTCTTTGTGCTCCCGAGGAAGGACATGTTCAACCTGCCGTGGATCAGAGTGGAGACAGTCTGGTGGTAGCGTCCGGGGTAGTGAGACGGGAGAGGGGGGGAGAAGCCTGAGAAGATGATGTCCGACTTTCCCTGGTGAAGCGGTGTTGCTATAACAACGATATCATACAGAGAGTGTGCTGAGCCTGATTCTCCAACATAATTTACCTCATAGAAATTAGTTGTGGTGCCTAAAAATTGGAAACAAAAGTTAAAATAAAATACTTGAGATATTAAAAGTGAACAATCCCTCAGTGGGAGAAAAATGAATGATAGGATACCTGACTTGGATGGTCGAACTTTGATTGAAATGGAGGTCACTTTGGCAGTGATGAGCTCAGTTTTGCTGATGTAGAGCAGTCCGGAGCACACTCTCTTATTGCCTCCGTCCACTGCCCACAGGCCTGAATCTACGCCTGCTAATGACACTGCCCCTAGGAGACAAAACATACATACAGTACATTATATTTCTATTGAGTTTATCATTTACGATTACATATACATATTCCTCTGATCTTCATTCAATTAAAGCCCTAAATTAAGTAAATGTTTTTGTGTTTGCCTGAAATACAGAAACCGTTATCTCTGGAGTAGGAAGATGGCATGTTGTGAAGTGGGCAAGTATTTTGCACATTGTATGAAAATCCTCCAAACCTTGTATGTTAAGGATTAATATTAACAAACATTTTTGCTACAGTAGCTAGGCTATTGTGGAATACCCAATTTAACAGCTGTTTAAACTAAATACATCGAGACATGTGAACCAAATCAAACTATTGCATTAAAAGACATACCCACAAAGCCATTGAGGCGGACACTTTGGCCATAGTTGACACGAGTGATGGGTGAGACGACTTCGTTGATAAAGACCTGCGAAAATCCTTCGGCCATCATCGTTTCCTCCAGAGTTTGATTCAGCAGGGTAAGAAAACCATCTCCACCCATGGCATGAAGGAGTTTATCCACACTGGAGAATGAGTAACCATACTGCTGATACTGGTAGATCCTGTAAAAAAAAATCAATCACATCGTTATCTGCCTTGATAATCCTGGATCTCATGCTAAAAAGGAATGAGATTTAATTATTTTTCCTCCTCACCTCATAAATTTGTCCAAAACGGTCTCCACCCACATATGCATTCGGAGAAAGTTGAACCCGTATCGCCAGAGCATGCGCAAAACATTTACTATATACCAGTCACTCTCTTCAAAAGTGAGCTCCTTTCCATCAAAGATTGCCGCCTTAGAGGGGACATCTTTCCTTGGAGGAATACCTGCAAGAAAATTAAATGAGGGTTCAATTCTGTAAACTAAAATGTACCAGAATAAATTATGGTTTCAGTAATTTGGTGGCGAGTCTTGTTACGTTACCTAATTTTTCAATGAAGTGTTTCATGTGTAGGTTGAGAGGATGGATCACTGCTCCTCCCGTCTCATAATCCTGATCTCCAAACTTCACTGTCGCAAGTCGTCCTCCAACAGTATCAGGTTCAAACACATCGATCTTTACTCCGGGTCCAAACTCCTGCCTCAGGTAAAACGCTGCAGCTGTGCCACCAATGCCCGCTCCCACCACGGCTTTAAAGGGGAAATGACCACACTTTAATTCATTTCTCAGCTGTAATCACTTAATATACACATTTTCCTTTAATTCTTTCATTATCCTTCTTTATGGCCATTAGATTAGTACAACTGGTAAACTGAAGGTCCATATGCTTGTTGAGTGTGTATTTTATTTGACACATGCTGCTTTTATTCTATGCTTAAAATATACACAGCTAACATAGAATATTCTCTCAAGATGCCATGTTTAAAATGCTGCACTACAGCAGCAAATAGTATTATAGATATATAATACAAAATAAATAAATAAGACAAATGTTTTATATAGACTAATGTATTTGACCAGGCACTGCATGATGCCCAGGACAACTAGTCAGCAATTAAAGTGTTGATGGTATTTATTTGCAAATCCCCATGTGAGCTCCATACAGTCTACTGTATCATTGAGTTTGAGATCAGAAAGCAACTTAATTTGCACATATCATGATCTTTATGCACATGATTATTTCGAATATCATATTTTTTATTTTTTTATTGATGTGTTGTGTTTTTACATGCACTCTGAGAAAGGCTTACCTATCTTTTGGGGTTGGATCTTCAGCTCTGGGGCTGAGGCTAGACATCTTCTCCCAGTTTGCCAGAGCCCCAGAAACAGCAGGGCTCTCAGTGACAGGGTTTGAGGATTCATTGTGGGTATCTAGTTCTATACAGTACCTCGGAGCATCTGTACAGGAGGAATAAAAGTGAGCCATGAACAGTGTATGTTGCTAATAACCTGAACGCAACACTCTTTACTGTTGTTAAAAGTCACGCAAAGAATAACAAAGACAGGAAATATAAACATACATTATTATGCAGTGCAGAATAACGTTACGGTGTGTGTTTTATATTTAAAAAATATGTTTAAATAGAATGCGTTGAAAGCTGTGGACTCACTGTCACAGGTCGATAACGTTACAGAAGAGCTTGCAGCGAATCCAGAAGTAGCGTTTAGAGAGTTGTTTCAACGTGACACTTTAAGATAAATTCAAAGCTTGTTAAAACTTGCCAACGGAAAACCGAACTATTATAAAAGCTACTATAAGACAAAAAGTGTCAAAAACTAAACTTGTTTAACGGTTGAATCATGTCGGAGCGCCCTGAACGTATCCTAATGTTGAGACACACTTCCGGGTAAGTTAACATTAGAGTTTCACAATAAAAGCCATAACATCGAGATATAAACGAATGTGTGTAGTTTCTATCGCAATGGTCTACAAAGAATAGTTGATATACGGCTTATCGTTTACAGAGCATTCTATAATTCAGCTTTCAAAAAATTAAAGATTACACGTAGGCTACACATTGAAAGAAATGTATAAACAATAATATGCGTAGCCTACTTGAATCCAGTTATAAATATAAATTATTTTATTTTCAAATAAAATACAAATTGTAAAAGCTACTTCAAAGTTAAAGAGTCACTTTTGAGGCATGACTTGACTGACCAGACTACCACACAAAACGGAAGAGATTTATTATATAAGAGTTCTTATAATCATACATCCGTGATTTGTTCCCTAAAACCGGTTGCGGAAGTAAAGCGGAAATGACGCAATCGTCTACCCATCTTGAACCATGCTTGAATGGAGGTGACCTTAACATCAAATTGTAGAGAAACGGAACTTGCCTTGGACACTGAGTGTACATCGACTTAGATCTGCGTGCTTTAAGTGCTTAACTGAATCTTACATTTTAGTAAATATTTAGAGTAACGAACAGAGATGGCAGAAGCACATCAGGATCGCATGCATGCTGTGGTGGAAGACATGGTCCAAAGCCTTGAGAGGGACCACATCCGTGTAATGCAGGTAGGCGTGTTAACTGTAACAACTTGAACTGTGCATGCAGTGCTTTGTCTGTATACTATTAAGCACCTGTATGACGCTTTAAATGTGTGTGTTCTTGCTGCAGGGTCGCATGTTCAGGTGCAGTGCAGACTGCTGTGACCGCTCCACTGACTCCATGTCTGTGGTGCATAACTGCATGGAGAGGTGTCACACTCCTATGGCCAAAGCTCAGGCACAGGTCACTTCAGAGCTGGAGAAGTTTCAGGTAAGGGGACATTTAAGTGTGTGGTATTTTCAATATAAACGTTAGCTTTTGAGGTCACATGTAAAGGCTGTTGCTGAAACTTTTCAATGACTGGTTATATTTCAGTGTGGCATTTCTAATAGCCACCTCAACCAAACGTGCTACAACAGAACACGATCAGTTAACCCACATGAGGTCTTTAGGGTAGATAACGTGACTAAGATGGAAGTATAAACCATGTAAGAACATAAAAGCAGTGTTTCTTTGTTTTTTTTACAAAGAAAGAAACTGTACTATTCTAAACAAAAGCATAACTCACCCCACATTTTGTCCAATTTATAAAAAAGATAGAAAAGCCCCACCTGGAGAAATACGTCACCTGTCTTTTTATATGTAGCTAAACTTTCACCATTTGTTAGAACCATCAATCATAACAAAAATGTTCCAGCCCAGTTTGAGCCAAAAATGCTTCATTGCATTTTCACCTCCAAATCTCTAAACATGCCTACTACTGGGGCTTGTCTCTTGCCTGTTTCAAGACTAAACCATTCCTTTTATTTGCCCCCTTAGAACCGTCTGTCCCGATGCACGATGCACTGCAACGATAAGGCGAAGGATCTTTTCGACTCTGGCGCTAAGGAGCCAGCTGTTCGAGCCCTGATGGACAGATGTGAGGGCAGCTGTGTTGATGACCATGTGAACCTGATCCCCAGCATGACCCGGAGAATCAAAGATAATTTGGACTCTATAGAGTAGTGAGGAACAAGATGGGTGGCTATAGTCCATCCTGAAGTCTCAGCCTGAACGCATTACACACAAACACAGGAGCCCAGGGTCAGTTGACCCAGCAAGTTTGACCAGTTACAACCGAAGGATAAACGGCTGGAACACCATAAAGGGTGGAAAGAGTGACTTAAAATGGAGCAAAGACACAGGTCTTGACAGGTGTAAGAGGCTGTGACTTTACATGTTGGTGTTGTGAAGTTTTAAAACGGCTCACTCTGAGATTTGTTTTTGTACTGTGTAATTAACAAACGGTAACCTATTAGAAGCTGACAGAAAAGAAAGAATGATGCATGTGGTGTGTAAACAAAATAATATATCAAACAAGTTAAGCATGACAGTTTAAGATATGGAGTATACTCAACAATTAAAATGATCTACATCAGTTTTCAATGTCCTTTACATTCAACCTTTGAGCCCTATTTAATTCCTAAAATATCTCTCTAGTGTGAGCCCTTTCATCCTTCACTCTTGCTTTTGTCATTTTATTGTCGAGTTGTTCTGTAATTTTCTGACCTCATCGTGAAATATGTTTATGAATTAAAAGTATCCTAGATGTAGCTGTTTTGGACCCGCATTACTTCCATAATAACATGAGCTGAGGTTGAACTATTGAATCGAGGCAATAATAAAAGCCAGTAATGCTTTTCTTATATATTTTAATGATCCATTTACTGTCTCATATATATACAAATGGTACAAGAAAGGCAACACTGTAGGTAACTGCAATATAACTTTGTACATGAACAATTCAAGAAGCAATAAACACACTGTAAATATAATGCAAACCCCACAACCCATTTAGTTAGTTAGGGAACAAATCATGGGATAGCACCACAGCCGGGGGGCAGTTTTCATTGGCTGTCAAGAACTGTATACATATTTTCTTTTGAAAAAATAAATCATACAAATGAAGTAAAAAATAAATAAAACACTTGTAACTTTGAACTCAATGACAGTTACGACTATACACGCAGGTCAAAATGACCACAATGAGTTATCAGTACAAGTCCGTTCTACAGGTTTTCAAAAACAGCATGAGGTAAAAGATATCAAACATTTCCCAACCAATATTGACCTAATCAAAATTACACAGTAACATATCTTTAAAGTTTTTTGTCATTGATCGGTCATCCAAGTAAAAACTGTAGATAAGGCCAACACACAAAAATGTACATACATACATACGAGCAACACGTGAAACATCCCACACACGTCAGTAAAAGTCCAGTTTCACCCTCTGGAGATTTCCCCTCATGATGTTCCCAAATTGTAGGATGATAATGCCCCTACATGGATAAATTAAGGGGGTTCCATTAAGATGAGTGATTTGGGGGTAGTCTGTCATCCCAGTGCACTCAGTTCATGGCAGAGGTCCAAAGTTTGAAGCTGCTCTGAATACAAAGATGGTCTGACACCTCCTGGCCATTATCTCCATAACCCTGGAAACCCCATGTATGTGAAGCAAACTCTCTATGTGCCAAAACACGGATGGAAAAAATGTACCCCATACATCTCACTGTGTAACACAAGCATGCAGATGGTATGTCCAATGACAGCTGATGGAAAATGTGGCGGTGGATTGTACGTACAAGCATGTGTCAGTGTCTCAGCGTTCCCAGAGGGATAGTTGCAAGTTAATGGCGGCTGAACGTGCATCAGGACACGATGCGGGTAGAGCTTTCCTGTTCTGTGGAGTCTGGACGTGGGTCAGAATGAGGCGATGTATACAGGAAGTTACAGCACACGTAGAGGGGGAATGTCAACAACCGGCTGTCCAGGTTCATCACCACGTACTCCTGAGATATTGAAGGGAAAGGAAGATTATTTAGCACTGAGCATGTAATACAAGCTAAAGAATGACACAACGGAGCCATCTACATCTGCAGGTTAATAGTCCTCACTGACCTGGTCTTTCTCAAGGGTGAGGAGCTGGTATCCTGTTGAGCGACTGCACACCAACTTTCCACGGCTATCGAAGGAGGCAAGACGCAACCTAAACAAATGAAGATTGTGGTATTTTAAATTTGTGGACAAGACGCTTATAGCCTCTCATGCTGTGAGTCAGATAAGAAGATTGATACCACTCACTTAATGTCTGTAAGCCTTAAAGAATGGTCATAGCTACCACCATTAGATGGCTAATGTAGCTTAGCATAAAGACTGCAAACATTAGGGGGAGTCTGTTGAGGTCTAAGGATAATATAATTTTCCAAAATGTCAAACTGTTACTGTAAGAGTTTCAATACACTACTATCACTTCCAAATCATCTGTACACATGTTGCCGTGTTCCAAAAAGTAAGGCATGCTTCTCTTGCAATTTCAGTAACTAGGATCTGAATACAATGATGAGGTAATTAATAATAACATTTCCCCAAAAATGATACCTTAGATTTGTATAAAATCATAATCTCAGTTACAGCTGTACTCATCATTTAGATAAATATTCCCCACCTGAATGCCAGATGCCTTCGAGCCTGCAGACTCACAGCGCCCCCACATGGCTGACTCAGAGTGTTTCTTTTGAAGACTATGAAGCGGTTTGTGTAGGTCACCAGCAGATCAAAACCAAAGTTAAAGCCTGTCCAGCGCCAGCAGTACTGAGGAGAAGAAAATGTATGTTTGATTTAAGAATAAGAATAAACAAATGTACATTGAACAGGGGCAAAAGGTTATGTATCAGAAATGTTCCAACTCACATCTCCATCTTTAGTGAGTTTCCTGCCACACCTCATGCTGCTCAGCTCAAATTCATCTTTGTTTGCTTCCTGGGGACTGATGACAGACAGGAGGCTTTTTTCAACTCGCTCAAATGCATACAGTTCTTATGGCTATATACACATGTTGCAGCAGCTGAACATTACAGGTTACATTAGTGTTCAGTCTCAGGTTCTCACCCATTATCATTGTCAAATTCTGTCCGGAGCATAGCGAACCACTGGTTTTTGTACACTGACGTTAGCCAATCTGGAAAAGAACATTTTAACAGTGCATTAACATATGGAAAAAGACAATTCTTACAGGATTTGCACGTTTGTCAATCATAGTCTTTATACCGCTTAGTATGAAATGAGACAGCTTAAGCGATTGAATTAAGTACAAAGATGAAAATAAAATATTTGTCTACACAACAGCTTTATTTTCTAGAATAATCAGTCAAATAACAAGAAAGCACATGAAAACTGAAATTAAATCAACTCAAACTATTCGATGGCTTTCATACTAGATCATTAAATGAAAGATGTATTTTCCCAGAGTAAAGAAGAACATTCAAGATCAAATTAAGTCAGACGGAGCACTATCTTACCAGGGGGCAAAATATTGTCTCTCTCCAGGATGCGTGCAGATGCGAGATCATTGATGATGTACTGGAGACGGACATATTTGAACACTGAACAAAAAGATTCACCCTCTTCTGTGTTCAGGAAGGGCTCTTGCTCACACAGGTCTGTAAAACAAAGACGAGACATAGCGTCAAAAATCTGTGTGTGGATACCAACGAAAAGGTTCCACATGAAGGTTGCTCTTTTGTAAGATGTGGACTTCTGTACCTGTCCTGCGTTTGCAAAGCCAGGCGTCAGCGTCAGCCAGAAGCTGCTTGATCGGGCCGTCCCAGGACGGATTGAGCTGCAGAAACATCCACTGCAGAGAGAGAACATATGAACACAGCTCTTAGAAGCAGGTCTGATGCTATAGTGAGTTTATTTGGAGTTATACTTGTTTTCATGTACCTTTTTCAGAGCAGTGTACACATCCATCTCTACCTGCATAACAAACAGGTCCGAGGACTGGATCAGCTGCTCCATTATCTCTGCCCTGTAAATGCAAACACACATGTTTAGTACACTCATTTTTACATCATGGTTGGAAAAATAATAACGAAGCCATTCACTTGTCCTCAAATAGGCACAGACAAACTTTACTTTAACTAAGCAGAACAAAGTCAATCCAACACAACATTTGATTTGATACCTTCATTATCAAACCAGTTACAATGACACCTAAAGAAAGGACAGATCATGTGAAAATGAAAGAACTGTGAGTTGAGAAAACACACCCAAGTTCTTTCATCAGGTCGACATTTTGGTGGGTCATCAGGTTGTTTAGAAGCCACTCAAGACACCTGTAGAAAGGTATACAGTGTGATATCAGTACACATAAAATATAGTTTAACCAATTAAACACTGTGATTTAAAATATTTGAAATCTGACTTTTTCATGACTAAGTCCAAGCCATAGATGCTGGCACAAGCATAGAAGCCACACACAGTCTTGGCACTGATGTTTTCCTTCATGGTCTCGCCACACTGCTGGATCAAGCCATCCTGTAGACAACAGCAAACCACGAGACTTGATTCGATTTTGTATCATATGACCGCATGTACAAAACCAATCAATCATGATGGTAATTTTGCGTTTCTTTTAATTCAATGTACTGACCAGCTGTAGCATACAAGCAGCGGCGAGAATACTGACAACTCTGCTGGGCTTGATAAGAACATCATCCCGGTACAACGATCCAAACACGACTTGTAGAGCTAAACACACACAAAACAGTAAAGTTGTATCAGTAAAACAGATGAACACAGTTGACAGCAGCTCTAGGTGACTGAGGTCTTTTACCTTCAGTGTCGATGTTCTGATCAGGGATCTCCAAGTTGATTTCCATCATGTTGGACTCTTTCCAAGAACCACTGAACATGCTGGAGAAATACCCTGACTGCAAATTGAAAAAAAGTAGGGAGCGAAACAAGAAAAAGATAATGTATTAAAAGACAGTGAAGGATATATTACTCATTGTCTTTCTGGTGTTGTATTGATGTTTTTACCTGGCACAGATACACTTTGTGGAGGTTCCACTCCTGTCCCAGAGCACAGATGCGAATGTCGCTGTTTTCTCCATTCAGAAACAAAGTCTGATAAATGTAACGGGATGTGCTTTTCAATTTCTTCCTGCTCAAGTTTGGAAAATAAACAAACAAACAGAGGAGAGACAAAAACAAATGTAAGACAGATTTTGATGACTTAACGATATCTGACTCTTATTTGACTTTAACCAGCCTTGCCTGCGAGGTGTATCTAAAATGGCATCGTCCTCCTCTTGTTCACTGTCACAGTCACACTGGGCATTTCGTTTCCTTTTCTTACAATCACACCCATGCTTATGGCTGGTACTTATTCCCTCAGCAGCCTCCTCTTGTCCCGGAGACGGGGCCTGGAACCTACTGCTCAGACTCCCCATCACTACACTGTGAAAGAAGTAGCACAAACATAACACTCATCAAAAAAAGGAAGTCAGATGTACTGTTTCTTGACATCAACAGAAATTCATAAATCAATATAATATCAAAATCATTAGAGCAGATACCATTAGGGACTTTGGCTTTTTGCAGGAACACGATTGTTTTGGTGGAGTTTTCTTGATCCTTGTCGTTATGGTTCTAGCAAACAAAATCTAAATTATTTCTTAAAATGTAACTTTTTGTAACAACAGTTGGAAATGTTTTTTTGTTATATTATGCATTAAAAAAGGTATTTATACTGTTTATTATTCCTATTGATTTGATCTGATTAAATTAAGCGTCTACTTACTTTTCCAAAAGTGCTATACAAATGAAATCTATGAGTATTCATTAAAAAGGCTTTACCTAGGTTAGATAAATGTTCAAGATTACAGTACTTGACATTTAAACAAATGTTTGCCCAGTTAGTGTGGGGCTGTCATACCAAGCTGATTGAAAGAAAAATCTTCCCAAAAAGGCATAGAAATGTGCATGTCCATAACAAATCAACACCGGATTTAAGTTTCAGTAGCTACCCTACACACAGGTCTGCTGCACAGGCTTCTGCAGCATATGCACACCAGATGTAAAGTATGTGTACTTAAAAGAACGACTTACCTAGTTTACCGGATGATCAGCAGCGGGCAGGCTGAAAGAGAGGTGTCGGGTAACTAAAGACAGGCAAACACCGGCTGATTATCCCGGGTTAGAGCAGGTTAGAAAAAAGAGCTAACCTCCGAGCTAGCTTAGCTGCAGTATTCACAAACAAGGGCAGGGAAATAACAGCGTTGCTTCTGACAAGCTACTACTCCACACAAGCCTTCAGATCGCAAAACTCTCCTCGGTTTCAGTTACATGTTTCTGTATTAGAGGAACTGTAAACCCAGAGACAGGAGATGATGATGTGTTGCTGCCCTGAAAATATGTGGCTGCTTTTGTTCTTCTTCTTCTCTCGCTGTATATGGTAGTATTCTACGTCACAGGTGTCTGGGCTGCTCAACGTCGCCACCTACTGTGAGACGAAGGGATTACATAAACATGAAACGTCTTAAATTGTTTTACACTTAACCCTGTAAGGCCCCAGGTTGTTATTTTACAACATCACTTAAAGTTTAAGCAATCCTAAAAAAGTCAGTACAGTTTTAAAGACTACATTTACATAGTCAAAAATTACTATTGTTCAGCCTCACAATGCAGATGGGGTAAATGTGTGTGTAGGTCCTGCCCTCTGGCTGATTGATTGATTGATTGAAAAGTTTATTAACAGCTTGTATATTGGGTACAGTACAGTACAGCTCAAAACATACAATTGTTAAGGGGATGCAGACCAGAGAAAGACTTTCGTCTTGTTTACATCAGGGTCCCCCATTTCCAATTCATCATATCATTTAAGACATATAAGACATACTTGACATACAGATGGCTTATTTACAATTTACATACAGTTGGTTTTTTACATACAGATGGCTTATTTACAAATTTTCATTTTAGATTTCGTTCTAATACATCCTAACCGGACATTTAAGACATACCAAGTCTACAGATATACAGTTAGTAACAGAGTCTAAAATGCGAGTATATACATAGATGGGGGGGGGGAAGCTGTCCATTGTACGACAGGTTGAGATTTGTACCATTACCGGGGCCAGTTTTGCAATGCTCTCCCCCGAAGGTGCTCTTTAAGAGAGGTTTTGAAGGTAAGTATAGTTTTACTTTCCTTTACAGCTGTGGGAAGAGCGTTCCACCTTGATGTGGCATAATTCCGAAACGTGTATTCCCCGTTTTTTGTGCCAAATCTGGGTTTTACATGATTTGTGGAGCTCCCTCTGGTGTTATGATCATGGTATTCCTTGACCTTTGGGAAGAATGTTGACATGTACATGGGTACCATAGAGGTGTAGTGGATCTTGTAGACCAGGCCCATTGCAAGTAGCTGTACTCTGTCGTCTACTCTAAGCCATCCTAGGTTGTCAAAGTGGGCAGAGGTGAGGTGGGTTCTAGATGGAAGGTCAAGCAGTAGTCTGACCAGTTTATTTTGCGATGTTTGAAGTTTTATTTTTAGCGCCTTGGAGGTGCTATGGTACCATGACGTGCAGGCATAGTCATAGTACCCTTGAATGAGTGCTCCTGCCAGAGTTTTCAGGGTGTTTTTGTTTACCAGAGAGGAGATCCGGTATAGGAATCTAGTTCTTTGATTGACTTTTTTTATTACATTGGATGCCATTTTGTCACAGGAGAGGTTTGCCTCAAGAATAGATCCTAGGTATGTAATTTCCTTCTTACTAGTGACAATAATGTCACCCACTGCAACTGAGAAGTCGTCGGATTTGCTGAGATTATGTTTCGAACCGAAGAGAATGGACTCTGTTTTACCCAGGTGTAATGATAATTTATTATCGGCGAGCCAGGTGCAGATTCTGCCGAGCTCGGAGCTGAGTGTTTTTTCAACCTGCAATCTGCTCCTGTCAGAGACCAGCAGGGCTGAGTCGTCCGCGAACAGGAACAAGTTGCAGTCACATGCTGATGACATGTCATTTGCATAAATTAGGAACAGTAACGGACCTAATATGCTTCCTTGTGGAACACCACAGCTCACTGGGAGGGGGGGGGGGACAGAGTACCGTTTACCTCCACCATCTGTTCTCTCCCCTCCAGGTAGGATTGCATCCAGCTCACCGATAGTTTATCAAAACCAATTGCTTTTAGCTTGTCAATCAGAATGGGGTGATTGACAGTGTCGAAAGCCTTTTGTAGGTCCAGCATCACCATGCCGCAGTATTTACCCTCGTCCACCTCTTGTTTGATGTGGTCGTTCAAATAAAGAAGGCATGTGTCAGTGGAGTGGGATGTTCTAAAGCCAGATTGAAATTCATAGATTAGTTTATTTTCCGCGAGGTACTTTTCGACCTGTTCATATACAATTTTTTCCATGACTTTCGAGATGGAGGTAAGTATAGAAACAGGGCGGTAGTTGCCTGGGTCCAATTTGCTGCCCTTTTTGTGCAGGGGGGTTACTCTTGCAATTTTGAAGTCTTTGGGTACTTTTCCCTGTTTTATGGAGAGGTTAATTATGTGGGCTATGACTGGTGAGATGGCGGTTGCTGTGTCTCTGAGGAATTTGGAGGGGATATTGTCGTGGCCAGTGGCCTTGTTAGGTTTGAGGGCGCTCAGTTTAATGAGTACCTCTGCTGTTGTTACCCTTGCTAGACTGAAATCATCTTTGCGTACCCCTAGGTTTTTGTAGTAGGTCATGATGTGATCTACTCCAAAAAGCCCTGAGTGGGTGGGTAATTTATTTACAAGAGTTGTGGCTATGTTTGTGAAAAAAATGTTCAAGTACTTGGCCACATCCAGTTTGTCTGTGATGAGCCTGTTATCTGTCTTTATGTTTAAGTTTGCAAATCTCGTTTTGAGTTTTTTACTGCAGCCAAGCTGGTTATTGAGTAATTTCCAAAGTTCCCGGGGTTTATTTTTGTTTTCCTCAGTTTTGTCATTGATGAAATTCTTTTTGGCAGTTTTGATCATGGAGCTTACGTCATTTCTCAGTCTGTTTCTTTCAATTTTTAGTTCAGTCACGTGGGCCTGGAGTTCACTGCTCGTGCTTTTGGAAAGCATTGACTGACTTTTATGAAACTCAGAGCATTTTTTGTCTCTGGTTTTCATGGCGGTCAGTATGCCGGAGTGCATCCACGGCTCAGCGCGATTTTTTACCCTGGTTGTTCTTAGGGGGGCCAAATCATTGAGTATTGCAGAGAATTTGTTTTTGAAACCAAGCCATGTTTCTTCAACTTGTGTACCACTGAGCTCATCTGACCAGTCCAGGCTCTCCAGTTCTCGGTTAAAGGCCTCGCTAGAGTAGTTTTTGAGGTCTCTAGATATGACTGTTTTGTGACAGCCGGCCTTTTGTTTTAGCTTTTTGCGGGTACAGAATATCATATAATGATCACTTAAACCGCATGCTATAACCCCTTTACTGGAGATCCTGGACCTGTCAGAGGTCAGAATGAGATCAATGGTAGTTTGTGTTGTTTCACATACCCGGGTGGGTTGGGTGATTAGCTGGCTGAAGCCGTGCAGATCACAAATCCTACTGAAGGACTTGAAGACGGACGTGTCTTTACGTTGCATATCCGTGTTCCAGTCTCCAATAATAATTGTCTCTACATCCCCCACATCAGCCAAACACCCATCTAATGTATCATAAAAGTCACTCTGTTCCGGTGGTCTATAGATTGTCCCGACTATTACAGATTTAGCATTGTCAAAAAGAATTTCAACCCACACAGATTCAATATTTTCATGATGCAGGTCAGTACGGTTTTTGAAATTGGTGTCTTTATGTATGTACATGCAGACACCACCTCCATTCACGTTCCTGTCCCTTCTCACTACAAGATAATCTTCAATTTCAATCTCTGAATCTGTAATGGAATTGTCCAATTTGGTCTCAGAAAAGCATAATATGCTTGCCTTACCGTTCATGAATATTTGCCTGAGTTCAGCCAGTTTGTGTCTCAGGCTGTTAGTGTTCAGATGAAAAATATGTAGTCCATTTTTGTTACTTAAATGCACAATGTCGTCAGCTTGCAGATATTTGTCTTTGTCCGTTACAGCAACCAGCTTTCGGCCTGCCGTGGTGCTTGAACACTCACACAACTTCCGAATCTTCAAACAAGCAAAAAACATGTACATATTTAGTTATTGTGGAATACATTCATCAATTTGATTTTGAGCAGCTTATGTCTTTGTTGCAATGTGACATACCTGGGTCAGTGTGGTAGTCAAAATAGCATGTGCACCTTACACATGGACATTGCCCTTCCATATGTTCACATATAGAAATAAAACACTAATAGAAATGTAATGTATTTGATAATTCACTAAAACTAAGTTCTAAATGTGTCCTCTGTTAAGATTTTGAATTAAGACAAGAATTGAATAAATTAATACATTATTAGCAGTATGAAATGATATCTGTAGCAATATTTTAAACTCTACTATACGTATCTTATCAGTTAATTAGTTACAAAAATACATTTAACTCTTCTCTGCTTCTGGCAGAAACAATTATTTCTGAAATGTTTTAGGACACTCGGATGTATCCATTTTAGTATGATAATTAGCCTATTATCATTAGCCAGACAGTATTGACTTGTTGAACTGGTTTACCTGTATGTATGGGTGTAGGTATTCCTTTGATTGTGATAATAGGCTAAGCCAGGCAGTATTGTGTGACTCAAGTGTACAATGTAAATAGGATTCAGATGCTTGTTGCCATCGGGACACCTGGAAGGGTGGTGGTGCATGCATTCCTTTTAGTATGATAATAGGCTAAGCCAGACAGAATGAACACTTGTTAAGTGGTGGATTGTTACTTCGGCCTACTCAAGCACTGTGTAAGTAAAAACAATTAAGGCCCTTGTATTTAATTTGAGCATTTTAACCTACAGATTATTTTGAACATTAATCTTTCACTAAATTAAAGATAACCAATTTGAGATGATGAATAAAGCATTTACTGCCATTTTTGCATGAACACTTACTTTGATTATCAAAATAGTCTGCGTTTGTGGTAGGAATACTGTTTACTATTTTAAACGTATTTGTCTTTATATATTTATTTGAACAAGGACCATGCATATAAAACATAAATCTCAGAAAAGAGAAGAGATGATTGATGCCATCAACACTGCTCTACATAAATACTCTTTTACTTAGATAAAAATCATATCTAAGTAGAAGTACACAAATATTAGCCTCATAATATACTCAACTTGCAAAAAGTAAAATGACTCATTATGCAGATTGGCCATTTTTTAAAATAATTGTCTACACTGTGGTGCCGAGAGACGGGAGTCGGAGGCGGGGTATCAAAAGAACACACTTATATACGTACTGTACATATGATATACTGTTAATTAATTACTTCAATGTTTCACCT